TAAGGAGATGATGATCAGTGATGCCAGTGGGACTTACCGAATCCAAAGGCTGCTGGGGCGGGAATGGGAGCTGACTGGAGAGTGTTGGAGGTGTAGAGTCCCGTGACCAGCAGGCCATCGAAGTAGGTGCTGGTGGAGATCGTTACTGTAGGGAGGAAAATGAACAGTCAGACTGAGTGCGCACAGCACAGAGCGCAAAAACCGCACAGATGCGACTGGCGAGATAACCCGTACAGGTGGCCACACTCCTGCACAGGCACAACTGCTGTCTGCGTGACCTCACATCGAGAAGGGCCTTGGTTAACAAGCTGCCTCTTCCCAACCTGCAGCTAACGAGCAGAGAGTGCAGATGCTAAGGCGGCAGCATGGCACTTTCATTAAACAACAGCAGCGCAACGCCACTTCCAGTGGGACTTGCCGCCAGCTGTGGGAACAGATGTTTGGCGGTATCGGGGTTGGAAGTGGAGAGAGGTAGAGAGGTATTGTTTGGGTATGCTGTGCCAGAGAACAGACCTGTCTGTCAAGAGGTGAGTGAGGCATACTTCCAGAGAAGTTTATAAGCATACAGCTGGAAATGATTCAAAACCAAGATGCATCAACTGCACTACAAATACAGTACAATACCTATCTCTCACTGTAAGAGTTAAGGGATTCACTGCATGTAGGTAAAGCACAAGCCTGTGAAATGGGGGTAACTAGTCTATAAGCTTACTCATGTTGAAGAACTGTGTTCATAATGAGCATCACTGCACGTGTGCTGCAAAACTGGAAATGCAGTTCGGCATCCCACAGATACTTTTATCTGTACACCACAAGTCAAACACTAGATCAAATAAAACCTTCAACCAGAATTTCACCTGCTTGATTTCAGGGTTGTCTTTGCATGGCACTGTTTCAGTGCAAAGACAGAGGCTCAGCTTCAGTTTTTGTTACTAGAGCAGCATTTTGCCTAGGGCTCTTCTTTAGGGTTAACGTGCAGTGAATATTTTGCGCTCACCTTTAAAACAAAATCACATTTTACTGATTGAATCATAATTTTGCCTGACGCGCTCATTAAACCTCTGGATTTTTATGCAAATGGCATTGCAAACCCCCCTTGCCTCCCCTTCAGCTGTAATGGATTTGTTAACCCCAGAGACAATGTATCTGCACCAAACCTGAAGCACCATTACCTCCTCTATTGAAAGATTACATCACAGAGGCGTGTTGTCAGAGCAGAATTTCAATGTAGTCAGAGAACAGACTATGTTCCTGGGCCTTGAGGAAAAACCACACAAGGTGAATTAAAATTCAGCCATGTTGAAGCTTATAAACAAGGAGCCACTGCTGACAGAGCTTCTGATGGGCTGTATGGACAACAAGCAGGAAATTATGTCCTATATCAGTTTTAGTTTCTCATCCACGCCTTTCCTCCTGCATATAAACCTGTACGATTTAGGTAAAGCCCAGTAGCCAGTGTCCATGGGGTTCAGCACTGGACAAGAACGGGTCAGAGGAAAGTTAAAAGCACACGAAAAGAGGTCGCTAGTGCCAAAAAATGGAGCATTATGCTTGTTTTCTCTCTTCATCCAAAATTCTGGATTTGAAATAAAGAAACTGTGGGGAGGTTTTCTGGGGCTGGAAAAGTTACTGGAAAAGTGCTGAAGTTGCACCGTGTCATTGAGACCATTACATGCTGGAATGCAGATGGAAAAGTAAAAGGTTCCCATTACAATGGAGCAGTTTTATGAAATTGCACGTGCAATTTTGAATTAAATTACTATTATCACTCTTTCTAACTCCCCCACTTTGTCAAGAGCAAAAAACGGAAAGAATGCATGTGTCCTGGAAGGATGAGAAGTAAAATCTGGTCAAAAGGCTCTTAGGCCAGTGTTTCATTTTTGGGTTTGGTTTGTTATTCTTCATGGTGGTGTATGAGGCTGCTGTGGCTCAGACTCTGGAAAGCTGGGTGGGGAATCCTTAGACTGGTGGCGCTGGCAGTTGTTGTGGTAAAACCCTAAATTGCCTGTCTGTCTATGTGCACAGTTGTGGTCCGAGGACCAGCAGGGTGGGTTTGTGTGTGTGTCATTGTGTTCTGAGCTCCAGCAGTCTGTGTGTATCAGTGTGCTTATATGATTGTGCTCTGAGCTCCAGCAGTCTGTGTGTATCAGTGTGTTTATATCATTGTGCTCTGAGCTCCAGCAGTCTGTGTGTATCCATGTGTGTACTGTATATGATTGTGCTCTGAGCTCCAGCAGTCTGTGTGTATCAGTGTGTTTACATGATTGTGCTGAGCTCCAGCAGTCTGTGTGTATCAGTGTGTTTATATGATTGTGC